ACACACTGATCTGGTCCTCAGCTGTTCGACCATGATCCTGGGATTGGTACCCGTCCAATCACACGCTCGGTCTCACTTTTCATCCTTTCTTTCAGAGTCATGGCGCTGATAAAGAAGTTCCGTCTCGGTTTCAAAGATGTCGAGGTTCTTACTGATATTTACCAGAGCCCTCAGCCGGGAAAGTACGTCTGCTGAAATTTAAAGAACAATGGTTGAGGTCACAGGAGGTCACAGAATGTGTGTGTGTGTGTGTGTCTACAGTGTGCATCAGTTTGAGAACATGCTGAGTCCTTTCAGGTCTGAAACAAAACCCAAACATGATTTGGATTCTGCGTCACAGAGTTCCGAAGAGGAACCATGGACCATCACAGATCAGGATTTAGAGAGGAATTGGGCAAAGGTCCGTTACACACACACACATACACTCACACATACACACTAACAAACCCACACACCTCTGTTTCATTTGTGAATTCCAGAGCCTCCGTCAGATCCGTCTGAACGAGGTTCTGCAGGAGTTCTCCAGAGACGCAGCTCTGATTGTCATGTGAATGTTCCACAGTTTTCTACAGTTTTATTTTATTATTTGTTTAAGGTTCCACTTCTCATCAAAAATCTGTTTTTCCTGACAGAACCATGCCTGTAGCCAGGAGAGGGCGCTGTCCTACAACACTCTTCATGGCCTGGCTGGATTTCCTGTCACGTGACCTGAGAGCTCCAGTCCTGTTGGTCAGAGGAAACCAGGAGAATGTTCTAACCTTTTACTGCCAGTGACTTCCCATCGTCTGATCCATTAAATAAAAAATATTTCAGTCATTTATCGTCTGTCTGGTCGCCTGTCTGAGATCACAACAAATCATCTGGACTTGTTTCAAAGATGCTGTGATGTTTAATAAATCTGCTGTTTTTAATTCATATCAGTCTCACTGAGTTTTCTCTCACCTTTCAAGTGGGGATGTAAGAATCGTAATAGTTTTTTCTTCCGATAATGAAAACCGAAAACACAATGCCTGAGTTTCACCAAATAATGTGTCCCCTAAAAATAGTTTTGGGGATAAACGGTTGTATATGAAAGTGAATGTCACTAGATGGCAGCATTGCAGCTCATCTGCCAGCAACTCATACAGTGGTTTGTTCAGATAACTAAGTGAATATAACTACGCCTGTATTGGTATTGGTTGATATCGGAATCGGAAATGAAGTGATTGGACAATATCGGCATATCGGATATTGGCAAAAAGTTGATATCTTACATCCTTAAAAATACAGTTAGGACTATGGTGACTGGTTTGTTTATTCTGTTGTTCTGTATAGGAATCACTTGGCAGAAAAGACTATTAATATTATTATTATTGGTAACAATAATAAACTGATCAGTATTAAAGTGTGTTTCAAGGAGCTGGAAAATCAATGTGTATTCTGCTCTAGAAGGGCAATGCCGATTTCCTGTCTCTAATCAAGTGTTGATTAACATTTTATTTATGAAATTATTAATTTAAGAAAAACACATCAATTAAGGATTTATTGATCAGTACTGCTAGAATGCCAGTTTGTATTTTTTTATTTTGGATGACGATGTTGTTAGTGTAAACAAACCTTTAGTTTTGCAGCTACACCTGTAAATAAAACATCAAATTGTGATTTTTCTTTGACTTTATAATAAAGCATCAAGGTGAATACTAGAGATTTGTTGTTGTTTCATACATTATCTCGGTTCATTATTATTTTATCAGTAGACCTCACAAATCCTCCTTGAACATCAGTCTAATAAAACATGATAAAAAGATTTAAAACTATAATAAAGCATCAAGGTGAATACTAGTGATTTGTTGTTGTTTAATAAATTATGTCGGTTCATTATTATTTTATCAGTAGATCTTCACAAATCCTCCTGGAACATCAGTCTAAAAAAACATGATAAAAAGATTTTAAAAAGATTTAAAACACCAGTAGACCTCACAAATCCTCCTTGAACGTCAGTCTAATAAAACATGATTTAAAATACATTTATTTCACTTGTAAATAAAAGGTTGATGCAGAAAGAATCATCCACTGCAGCAGAGGGCGCTAAAGAAGCAGCAATCTGAGCGTTTCAAGTCTCCAACAGAGGTAACGGGAAGTTATTATGTCTCGTTCTAACTAAACTCACTCCCTCTAATATTTAAAATCGCTTTGTTAGTATTTGCATAATCATCGGTACCATCGGTGAAGTCATTCCGGACCCGAGTGTCGTCATGTCGGAGACGTTGTCGCTCAGAGAGCTGGTCAACAAACGTCTGGCGGCGGCAGCGGAAGACATCCTCGGACTGGTGGAGAAAACCATCGCCGAATATCAGAGTGAAGTGGTCCGGTCCAGCGCTGAGATCGTCCGTCTGAAACAGGAGGTGGAGCAGCTCACAGCCGGAGCGGCTACGCCCAGAGCAGGTGAGTGACTCGGTGTCTCCGCTGGGAGCTGCAGCTGGACGGGGGACTACCTGTGGCTTCACCGCTGCCTGGGTCACGCATGATTTGATTTTAGACAAATTTCTTTTCTGTTCTTCAGACACTGTCACTGTCGCTGAGAAAACCTGTGCTCAGGAGAAAAACACCCGGAGTCAGAGCAGTGACCTTCAGCAGGTTAAAGAGGAGGAGCAGGTGGATCTCCCCATCAACCCTGACCTGGAGGTCGGTTCATCCAAGGATGTCAAAGACAGACTACAAGAAAACAAGCAAACTCAGACAGACTCTGAGGCCATCTCAGCACCTTTGGACATCAGGACCTTGACTCTTGGTGAAGACGACGAGCGCCGTGTCGTCGCCGTCTCCATCAACAGGGAAGAAAAGAAGACTTGTCGTTTCTGTCGGAAGCGTTTTAAGAACGACTCGGCCCTCGTCAAGCACGTGGACGAGGTTCACCCCGGAAAGAAAGCCTATAAGTGTCAAGAGTGCGGGAAGGAGTGTCACCGCAAAGACCACCTGGCCACGCATCTCCGAGTTCACACGGGGGAGAAACCGCACCAGTGCCCCTTCTGTAAAAAGTTATTTGCCCAGACTTCCAATCTCAACGTTCACATCAGGGTGCACACGGGCGAGAAGCCCTATTTCTGCAGAACCTGTGGTAAAAAGGTGGCTCACAGTACCCACCTCAGACACTGTGGCGCTCCGGAGTCATCCGGGGAGAAACCGTTTCGATGTTTGGTTTGTGGCAAAAAGTTTCTGACCGCGGCAGATCTGAAGGTGCACATGGAGATCCACTGGGCGAGGAATCCAAACGCTGATGCTACAGTCTGACGCCTCAGATCAGGGCTGTCAAATTCGTTTTGGTTCAAACTAATGAACCTATAAATAATAACCTACAGCCTTTCCCCCCCTTTGTTTTCATGCAAAAAAGTACATTACATCCATTTTGATATTTGATGAAATATAAAAGTGTTTGTGTATTTTATTTTCAAATACATCAAATGGAACGGATTGAAACCCCAAGCAGGCAGGTTTTGGACCGCGGGCCGTATGTTTGACAGGCCTGCGTTAGACTGAAAGAGCTTTTTTATATTACAAATATAATATTTGTATATAAATTGTATATATGTATTTATTTTTTTCTAAAGAACAAATCAGACGTGTGTGTGAAATGTAATTCAGTCTGTAAATGTTGTAACTGTTTGATACAATAAAAGTAGTTTTTTGTGAAGGGATTAGCCTGAAAATACTCAAATATAGCCATAAAACTAAACGTTAGCCAAGACGGTTAACAACTACACATAAGAAAAATTCAGGAAAAATTGCCAAATAACCCTATTCTACATTAACCTTAACTAATGCAATGGTATTGATTTAAAAAAAATGTAAATATTTATAACCATAGCAGCGACTGTTAAAAAAAGCATTTTAAATAAGCCTCAACAAAGATAATCATTTTTAAACTGTTGTCACTCTGTTCTGAAAACCGAAAACCGAGAGCAGTTGTGTGCGGCAGGTTGTTCGGTTTCCGCGGTGAAAGATGTCGTGTAGTGAGTCATCCCGACGACGTCACTGCTCTTTGTTCACCTCGTCATGGTGTGTGCTTCATGGATAACGTTGGTTGGAGATGATGGAGGGCGAAACTGCGGCACTGACGAGAAACAAAAGATGACGCAACAAGTCGAACCAGTCTCGGTAAATAAAATACTTAAATATCGTTACATTTACATCAAAACCGACAGTTAGCCGCGTTTAGCTGTCATCGATGCTGACAGGCAGAGCTAACCGGCTTAGTAGCTAGCTGAGGTCAGTGTTGGCTAATCCGCTGCTCGGTAATTAGATGATGGAGGGATTTTTTATTCCCTTATTCCGAAACTAAAGCAACGTCCTTTAATTAACGAACATGTTTTACTTTTTTTTCTGCGTGTCCCTTTAAAATAGTTAAGTAAATTAAAGTCAGTAAGTTAACGGTGGATGTTTGTATGTTTAGCTTTTAGTCCAGTCCAAGCTATAGGTTTAAGGAAGTATCGACAAAGCTACGGATCGTGTTCCCATCAGGATCAGTTTACTGACTTGGTCTCTGGTCTTTCCATTCAGATCGGTCACTCCACAGAGTGACAGGTGGAGAAGGACATCGACGTCATAGTTAGGAGACGTAAAAAAAAACAAACAAAAAAAACAGTTTATAGACCTATTGGTTGATGTACTGTTGGTATTTCTAATAAAAATGTCACTTTCAAAAAAGAAAAAAAAAGTAAGTAATGTTTACAGTAAATATTACTAGAGACGCCATGATTGGACAGTTGTAGAGATGATGGTGGAGTGGTAGGGGTGAAATGGACGTGAGCTGAGGAGAGACAGGTACGATGATAGACAGGAAGGAGGGAAGGTTAGTGGATGGTTGGTGTAAAAGCATGGATTATATTCCCAGAGGAACCACCTGCTTGGTGCCAGAAATAATAATAATTATTGTTATTATTGTCAATCATTTTTTTCTACTTTATCTCTTCACAGACCGTTGAAGTCTCCTGGTTCTGTTAGGAGAACATGGAGCCATACGTGGTGCCGTTTCACTCCTCGTCTCCTCCTCCGCTGGATGATTACGGGGGTGGGGATGCGGGGTCGGACGGGGGGGGGG